CAATCTCCTATGTTACTCCCACAGATCTGATATAATTGAACCCTTAATTAAACACTGACAAACTTACTACTACAGTTAGAGAGATCTAAACTCAAAGGAGTGATAGAACATACCAGTCACTGGGAAAACATCTACATAACATGGATTCAATGATGACTGAAATTTGGCAGGAAAACAGCTTAAGCGTTCCCCACGGATACGCCTGGCTAGTTGGATGTCTTTATGCATAAGGTGACTCTCTTGGCGTGGATGGCGCACAAGTTGGTATCTTCAAAGAGACCGACCAAGTAGGCTTCAGAAGCGTCTTGAAAGGCCATGACCGTAGAGCTCTGGAAACGCAAGTCGGTCTTGAAATCTTGGGCGATCTCCCTGACAAGTATAAATTTGTAGGTCACGCAATGAGGACGAAGAAACTGCTAATATTATCTTCGAATGCGAAGCAGCCGCTCAATTGAGAAATAACCTGTGTTAGAAAGAAAAGAATTGTAGCAACGAGAGTCTGAACTAGTACTTTTAATAAAAGGATCGGGTCGATTGCATTGAACTATGGAACAAAGAAAGTACAATAAGCCAGAAGGATGCGTTGCTTGAGGATCAAAAAACCCCACTTCTTGGTAACCATGTACATCATCAACACCCTATTTCCTTCATCCGTTCGTATATAATCTTATGGAATCTAGCATGACGGACAAACTCAGAGAAGGATCGTGACTCTGATATAACATATTCTTAAAATGGATTCAAGGAATGAGAAGCAGCCGTTCATTTGATAGAACAAACAAAGAAAACACAAGGAATGGAATTGCAGCAAGGACAGACTTGGTACTTCTTGTTTAGGAAACAACACTTCCCATCAAAAAAAAAATTAATTTAAAAAAATTAAAAAAAAAAAAGATTTTTGCAGGAAAAAATGGCCAACTTTGAAAATGAATATTTTCTCAGCCTAGACCTTCGTTAGGTCTCATTTTTTAGAAAATTTTACGCTGCACAAGTTGGCATTTTCACATTTTTTCCTAGCATTTGAAACAACAAGCAAAGAAAACACAAGGAATGGAATTGCAGCAAGGACGACTTGGTACTTCTAGAAAAATTATCGAGTCGATTGCATTCAACTTAAGAATTATGAAACAACACTGCCCATCAAAAAATAAATAAATTTAAAAAAATTAAAATAAAAAAAAAATTTTTGCAGGAAAAATTTCCAACTTTGAAAATGAATATTTTCTCAGCCTAGACCTTCGTTAGGTCTCATTTTTAGAAAACTTTGTTTGAATAAAAAATATATTTTGCATTGTATAAATTCACTTTTCCACATCCTAAATGTAATTGTTAAATGTAAACATTTTTTGTAAATCCCAGGCCCTGAAGATGATCTCAATAAAAGATCGAAACGTTGGCACGATAAAGAAAACGTTTTTCTGAAACCTACGTCACACCAGACCGCATCTCACGATATCTGAATAACTATTCTGGAACATGTTAATTTACGCACTTTTTACGAAAGTGTTGTTTTTACTGGAGCGGCGCTTTTACAGGCAATTTTAATAAGCTTTTAATTAGCCACCTTCCACTTTGCCCATTTCCTAACCGTTTTCGAGTTATTTGCGATTTTTGGGCAAAAAATGTGGTTTTTTACGTGTCCATGGAAAAAAAAACTGATCACTTTCTCTCCCGAGTTTACCATAAATATACCTATTGCTTCAATACGATATTCGAAGCTGAGCTGTCACAACACCTGTGAAATGGGAAGGAAAAGTTGACTTTCTGTGATGAAGTAAACAAGCGGTTTTCGACAGCAGAAGCATTCCGCATGCCAAAAGGTCAAAAGTAGAAAAAGTAAAAGTTGTCTCTTCCCTGTTCGGTTTTAGAAAAAGTCCTCGGAACAAAAGTTGTAGAGCGTAAAATTTGCGACAAATTGGAAAATGACTCTCCGATAACTGAGTATGATATTACAAACTAAGCTTTCAAACCAAAGAATACAATGCGCAACTTACTAGTGCCACCCTTGGTTTTCTCAAAAACTACTCAAACCAAAAAAAAAAAATTAAACTGATTTTTCTTATAGGTATAAGATCTATATTACAAACATTGAAATTTTACGTTATACTTTTTACATATTTAATATATTTTTATAATATTTCAAATAATGTAAAATTATTTTTACAAAACATTTTCAAAATAATGAAATCTTCCACATCGTAANGGAAAATTCAAAAGGTGGGGTTGAGATGGGAAGTTAGTGTCCGAGTGGATCGAGGTCACGATAGCTCAAGTGGTAGAGCAGCGGCGTATCTAGCCGAAGAGCGTGGGTTCGAATCCCACTCGTGCCATTGACTTTTTTATCTCAACTAAAAACCATAATTAATTGTTATATACCTAATATTGTGACCTAACCAATAAACTTTCCTCACAATTTCTATTTTTTAATAGAGTGGTTCCAATATTTAGTCTATTTCCTAAAATATCTTGATCCCACTGTGCGACGGGCCAAAAGTGAGTACAGGCACACCAAAATAATCATAAATGACGTGGGTTTTTTCCAGATTATTGTTTAACGTACTCGTGTGCATACGTGATGAGTTATTGCACTTATTAGGCTAATTTAGCCCCTTTCGAAAAGAGCCTGGTCCAAATCGGTTTGAACTCCTTGGACCACCATGCATTTCATATTCATTTTGACCAAAACAGGGAAGATGAAGCAGGCAGGCGAAAATGATAAGAACGCCAAAATTGCCGGTTCGTCATCCGGCATACCCCACCGAGAAATCATACAATTCAATGAACGAACGAAAATGTACAAATTTATCTATTGTAGAAAACCGATACAAATCCCGGCAAATATCCGGCCAGTCCCCGATCTTTTCGGGTACCTATTAAATAAATTTAATAATTTTATATCGATATAATTGTTATTAGCCTTTAATAATATAATTTTGTTTTAAAAATTCAGAATCATGACATAATGAAAAGACAGTCTCTTCAAAATTTGTCCACAGTTCTGATATAGACTGGTCTATCTACAAAACGTCTATTCCACTATCTAAAGTTCATTTTGCCTCTACTCGATGAAGATTCAATGCTTTCTTCCTTTAAGTAAACTTGTTAATCAAATTAAACTGTTGTAACGCGTTTAACAGACAAAACGCAACCAAAACGATCGGTAAAGACCAAAAGTTGAATCACATTGAACACAAGTTAATTAGAAAAAATGGTAAACTGTGATAAAAATACCACAGACATACACAAAAAGGTCATTGTTTTGACTGTGAACACATAAAAATACTGGACCGGGTATTAGACCGGGGTTGTTTCTGAGAAATGTTACATACAGAAAACTCAAATGAATTGAAACTTCTGGCCTAAAGAAATTTACATCGAGCTATTACGGTTTTCCAAATTTGAAAATGACTATCCGATAACTGAGTATGATATTTTAAAAACTAAGCTTAAAAAAAATAAATAAATCCAAAGGATACAATGCGCAACTTACTGGTCACCCTTGGTTTTCTCAAAAACTACTACAAAAAAATTATTTTTCTGATAAGTTCAATGTTACAAACACTGAAATTTTACGTTATTCTTTTTACATATTTAATATATTTTTATAATATTTCAAATAATGTAAAATTATTTTTACAAAACATTTTCAAAATAATGAAATCTTCCACATCGTAAATTTAGAACATAAATTCAAAAATATTTCAAATAACACGATTTTTGCGTAATTATTTTCAAAATTAACGTATAATAAATTGTATGTATTTTTCAAAAAAGTTGCGTAAAATTATATTTAAAAAAATAGAAATCATGGATAAGGTCAATTTGAAAAGAAAGAAAAACACTTATTTACTTCCTCACTTTCCGGGAATATGAGTTAAAAAATCATTTTATATTTTAAATTCTACAGGCTTTGTACATAAGCAATGAATGATGGTAATAACATTTTTTTTAAACGCACAGAACATAAATGACGTCTTTCACTTGTGGTAAATTTAGAACAAAAATTAAAAATCTTCAAAGTAAACACAGTTTTTACTATTATTATTTACAGAATTGACGCAGTATAAGTGGCATATTTAATAATAATAATAATAATTATAAAATAAAAAATAGAAATCAGGGATAAGGACAATTCGAAAATAGGGAAAAACTCTCAGTTCCTTCGTCCTGCGGCTTAAAAGGTTGAAAAAATATGCATTTTCAAAGTTAGCCATTCTTTCGCGCAAAAACGGAGTGGTCGGTTTTCTTTCTTTTTTTAATGAGCAGTGTATAATAAGCCAGAAGGCTGGAGTGCTTGGGGGACAAAAATCACCTAATATCCGTTATAGTCAGCTGTACAGCAGCAGCCCTTGAAGGCTCCGCTCTTTCGTTTACCTCCTATATGACCTCGGACCTAACCGCTAACAGAGGGTAACTTTGTTTCGCATATACAGCCGGGCGAAGGGTGAGGGATTCATTACGGAAAATTATAGTTAAATGTGCTTTATCTGCCTCGTGAAAAGTGTAGAATTTATCACATTAAATCTTTAATCAATTATAAACGGAAATAAATAGCGTGGATTCAATTACAAATTTTCTAACCGGCTACAACATTTGATCAGTGATTTATTGATCCGTGTAAAGAAGGATATTTGAAAAAGGACGTAGGGAACAGGTATTATCTAGGGATATAGGAAATTAGCGGTACCCAGTAAAGGGATTAAGGGAGAAACGATAGAAGCAGTCAGTTAATTACTAATAATGCCATGACTATATTTGTAAGCGAAACGTAGTAATTGGTTTTGTATGAAAGGGGCGAGGAGGAGGGGGGTGGTTTAGGGAGAAATAGATGCGGTTTTTGTGCCGGCCCACCTTCCCATGCGAAAGCTGTTTTTCTCCGCGGCGGGATTGGGTCGATTCTCCATGGGAACGGGGAGGAAGAGTCGAGGATTGGTAGGGCCGAGTGACGTCGGACCGGGGGGCAACGCCTCCCCGTCACACGCCCTGGAGGGGGCGCCCGCCAGGCATGGTGAACGGCGAACAAATCAGTCATGGACACGGATAGTGAGGAAGAGTTCACCAAAGGGCCGAGGGCCCATTTCGAAATGCTTCTGACACAGCATAGGACCGCAGCCAAACCACCGCCGAAACACCACACCATAGACGCCATCCTAGGTCTATCCCAAGATTCCCAGGGTAATTTTCACTCATTCTCCACAATCATTTAAAAAAAAAAATTTACCCCTTAAGTCGTTTTGTATGTAACCCATAGTGTACAAGACGATTTTATACACCATCATCGCAGTCCCCAACTTCAAACTTTGTTTCCAGTACAATCCCCCCAGGACTCAAATCTGCGAAGGATTAGCCGATCTGATAAACAAGAACGAAGGCAATAATAACAATAATTTAGTATTGCCTAGTAAATTTTTTCTCAGATCTGGCATTTTTTCTTTTTTCTCGGGAAGCCATCCCAAAGCCCACTCTGTTTATCCTTTAAAGGGATGACACTGCAGATTTAAAAAAAAAATCACTAAAAGAGTCAATTTCATGCGAACCTTCGGTCCCGATTCCTCGTGTGTCTGTCTAAACCGTGCACTGTCCAGAAGGATCGGTTTTTCGCTCTACGAGGAGGTTCTCCATACCGGCGAGGTTTTCTTTTCCCCTAGCCTGGGTCCCATTGGTAATTTACAAAAAAAATCTATCAAATGTCAAAAAAGTCTTATAATTAAACTATACGACCTACAAAATGATTATATCATTAATTTCAATCTTTACATAAAACGTACAAACCCTAAAAACAAAACTTTTTTCAAAACAAATACTAATTCCCATATAAAATTCTGCTCCGACTAATATACAAAATCTACTGTTGTATTTTTATTTCCACATTTATATTGATTAAAATCAGGCTAATTTCTAGCCAATTATCAAATGAATGTTTTTACTTACAAACACAACATAATTATAAATAAATGCCCTCTATAAAAACGACATATTGGAAAAAATCAAGAAAGATTGTATTCGTGCTCCCCCATGGACAAAATTTATATTAACGCCATTTTTTTTCACTTTCACAAAGTTAATTAAGTTAAGATTCAAGTTTCTTCCTGCTTCCTTTAGCAGATTCTGCTGCTTCTTCCTTCTAAAACGTGCTAGAAGGTTCTTGGATTGTTTGTGTCTAATAACTGTACACTTTCTTGTATCCGTTTTTTCCCCTCCCCAATGGTCAAAATTTATATTAAATCCATCTTACAAATTCACAACATTAATTAAGTTAAGATTCGAAATTTCTTCCTGCGTCCTTTAGTAGATTCTGCATTTTTTTCCTTCTAAAACGTGCTAGAAGGTTCTTGGATTGTTTGTGTCTTATGATTGTACATTTTCTTGTATCCGTTTTTTCCTCCAATGGTCAAAATTTATATTAAATCCATCTTTCAAATTCACAACGTTAATTAAGTTAAGATTCGAAATTTCTTCCGGCTTCCTTTAGTAGATTCTGCTGCTTCTGTTTCCTGCTTTCCTTGTAAAACGTGCTAGAACGTTGGAGGCAAACCTTCCAAAAATAACATGTTTTACTATATTGAACCGATTGAAATAATTAGTTTTTATTTTACAATAAATTTAGTATCTCGTAATATTTCTGTCATGACCATTTTCGGAAGGAAATTCTTAGATAACCGGGATTACCTGCATTTTAAAGGTTTTCTCATAGAAAAAAATTGTGTAATAATAATAATACAGTTTTTTATAAACATGATACAATTAAATTTATTGATGAAAACTTCCCTTTTTGGTAGATCTTATTTTGAAGTTTTTCTTTTTTAAAATAAAAATCATAGAAACCAAGCAAGAAATCTGATACAAATCAAATACCAATTGATAACTATATACTGAATAAGCAAGGAGTTTTGGGATAGTAAAATTAATTTTATACTGGGATGAAATTTAACAAAATCATAATAGTGTGTTTTGTAAAATAGTTAAATTTTAGGCTCAAAAGTGAAATATTTTGAAAATCGTTTGTAGCTCTGATGTTGTGACCTATAAAATAAACTTTCGCAATTTGTGTTTTTGAACAGGGGGTTGGATTATTTTGTCGATTTTCTAAAATATCGCGCTTTCACCGTGCGACGGACCGAAACTGAGAGTACGGGCATACCAAAATGCTCAGAAACGACGATTTTTTTTCACCAAAAGTCCCAGATTATGCTAACATGTGACCGCGATTTGGTTAGGGTTGAAAAAGATTTAATGGTCTGATTTATTATTTTGCTACTGTTTGCGTGATTTTCAACAAAACTCTCTGAAATCTTTTATTATAGAAAATATAGTTCTTCTTATTTTCCGGTTCAATTTGAATGGTATTTAAATAGAAAAATATTGTAGGTTTGCCCATTTCAAATTCTACTGCCAATTTTTCGTACTTTCCTCATAAAATTAGGAGGCTTGTCATCTTTAGCAATTTTCTTTAACCATAATTATGACCAAAAACGGAAAATGAAAGGAAGAAACGCACACTATGCACATTGGGCCAGATCGCTATATTGGAGGAAACAGACAATTCAAACGCACTATTAAAAAACTGATATTATGACCAATGTTTTATCTTTAGGTGGCAATACTAAGGCTACAAACACTTTTCAAAAAATTATAATAGTGCGTTTTTGTAAAATGTTAAATTGTGAGCACAAAATTAACGTATTTTCAAAATCATTTATATATCTAATTCCATAAGGAGGGAAAATTCAAAAGGTGGGGTTGAGATGGGAAGTTAGTGTCCGAGTGGATCGAGGTCACGATAGCTCAAGTGGTAGAGCAGCGGCGTATCTAGCCGAAGAGCGTGGGTTCGAATCCCACTCGTGCCATTGACTTTTTTATCTCAACTAAAAACCATAATTAATTGTTATATACCTAATATTGTGACCTAACCAATAAACTTTCCTCACAATTTCTATTTTTTAATAGAGTGGTTCCAATATTTAGTCTATTTCCTAAAATATCTTGATCCCACTGTGCGACGGGCCAAAAGTGAGTACAGGCACACCAAAATAATCATAAATGACGTGGGTTTTTTCCAGATTATTGTTTAACGTACTCGTGTGCATACGTGATGAGTTATTGCACTTATTAGGCTAATTTAGCCCCTTTCGAAAAGAGCCTGGTCCAAATCGGTTTGAACTCCTTGGACCACCATGCATTTCATATTCATTTTGACCAAAACAGGGAAGATGAAGCAGGCAGGCGAAAATGATAAGAACGCCAAAATTGCCGGTTCGTCATCCGGCATACCCCACCGAGAAATCATACAATTCAATGAACGAACGAAAATGTACAAATTTATCTATTGTAGAAAACCGATACAAATCCCGGCAAATATCCGGCCAGTCCCCGATCTTTTCGGGTACCTATTAAATAAATTTAATAATTTTATATCGATATAATTGTTATTAGCCTTTAATAATATAATTTTGTTTTAAAAATTCAGAATCATGACATAATGAAAAGACAGTCTCTTCAAAATTTGTCCACAGTTCTGATATAGACTGGTCTATCTACAAAACGTCTATTCCACTATCTAAAGTTCATTTTGCCTCTACTCGATGAAGATTCAATGCTTTCTTCCTTTAAGTAAACTTGTTAATCAAATTAAACTGTTGTAACGCGTTTAACAGACAAAACGCAACCAAAACGATCGGTAAAGACCAAAAGTTGAATCACATTGAACACAAGTTAATTAGAAAAAATGGTAAACTGTGATAAAAATACCACAGACATACACAAAAAGGTCATTGTTTTGACTGTGAACACATAAAAATACTGGACCGGGTATTAGACCGGGGTTGTTTCTGAGAAATGTTACATACAGAAAACTCAAATGAATTGAAACTTCTGGCCTAAAGAAATTTACATCGAGCTATTACGGTTTTCCAAATTTGAAAATGACTATCCGATAACTGAGTATGATATTTTAAAAACTAAGCTTAAAAAAAATAAATAAATCCAAAGGATACAATGCGCAACTTACTGGTCACCCTTGGTTTTCTCAAAAACTACTACAAAAAAATTATTTTTCTGATAAGTTCAATGTTACAAACACTGAAATTTTACGTTATTCTTTTTACATATTTAATATATTTTTATAATATTTCAAATAATATAAAATTATTTTTACAGAATATTTTCAAAATAATGAAATCTTCCACATCGTAAATTTAGAACATAAATTCAATAATATTTCAAATAAACACGATTTTTGCTATTATTATTTTCAAAATTAACATATTATAAGCTGTATGTATATTTAAAAAAATAATTGTGTAAAATTTTATTTGAAAAATTTAAATCATGGATAAGGTCAATTTGAAAGGAAAGAAAAACACTTATTTTGTAAGCTTTCCGGGAATATAAATTAAAAAATCATTTTATATTTTAAATTCTACAGGCTTTGTAAATAAACAATGAATGATGATAATAATTTTTTTTTAAACACAGAAAATAAATGACCTCTTCCACTTGTGGTAAATTTAGAACAATAATTAAAAAATCTTCAAAATAATATTATTTACAGAATTGACGCGATGATTCAAAATTAAAAAATAGAAATCAGGGATAAGGACAATTCGAAAATAGAGAAAAACTCGCAGTTCCTTCGTCATGATTTCCAGCAATAAATTTCTTTAACCGGACTTTGAAACAATTAATAATAATTTACAAGGTTAACAAATATGAACTTTTTTTACAATATTGAAACTTATAGTGTTAAACATAGTAAATTTCAGAATTGATATTAAGAAATCTCTGTCCAATATAGGAATGATTTGCGATTGGAGTTAACTCAAATTTAAAAAAATGAAAAAACTTATATTATAAAAAAACTTATATATACTTAAACTTATTTCATGCTTGAAAGTAAAGCTTATGCTTAAAAACTTTTTTTCCCTGGTTTGCGTAGGTTTTGAGAAAACCAAAGGTTATGGTAGTGAGTTAACTTGTATACTTTGGACTTGAATTATTTTAAAAATTAATTTTTTAATGTCACACTCGATTGTAGGAGAGGTGTTCAAGGTTTTGAAATTTGACAAAATGTAGTAACATTTGAATTCGTCCGAGTTTTATACTTGCATGTAACGGCTTTCTAAATGAATTTGTTCTTTTTCGTTCATTCATTGAATTGTATGATCTCTCGGTAGGTTCGGTACTGATTATTTAGGCGCCTGCTCATTTTCCCTGTTTTGGTGCAAATTAATATGAAATACATTGGAGTCACAGTAGTTCAAACCAATTCGGACCGGGCTCTTTTCCAATGGGCTGAAATTCTAATTAACCAAATGAGTGCAATAATTTTTAATGTATACACACGAGTACGTTAAACAATAATCTGGAAAAACACAAGCCGTGAATGATCATTTTGGTCTGCCTATATCCACTGTTTTAGCCTGTCGTACAGTGGGCCAGATCACAATATTTTAGGAAATAGACAAAATCATGGAATCCCCCTGTTAAAAAACTAAAATTGTGAGCAGTGTTTCTCTAACATCGGTGCTAGTTTATTCTTCTCCAAACCCAGCGAGGGTAAGGCAGACCAAAATGATAACCCTGAATTTTGTTGATTACCGATCATTTTGATCGATCGCGATTCGGCATTTCGGCATCATCAGTGGTAGATTTTTCTTCTTCTTGAGACCCACGAATAGATATATAGGCAGACCAAAGTGATACTTAACGACAAAATTATTGTACTTTTCCTCGTTCATTACATCATCGCAGCAGTTCGTTTTTTTTCTCTTTTTATTCTAGGTTATATTTCCATTAAGGAGTTGCTTCGATCCGAAATTACTATGCGAATTTTCTTCCTCCGTACTAAAGGTGTTTTCTCAGATAACAGTGCCCGGTATTGTGCCAAATCACTCCCTTTAGTTGTACCCTGTTCACCAGTTTTGACGAGAGTTTTTAAGTTACTATGTTTGTACTTCTTCTCTTGTTTTGTATGGACTCTTAGATGGGTTAGAATATGTTTGATCTTGTTATAATAAGCTCTGGGCCTGTTTTCTTCCTTTTTATCATCCAGAATAACTTTGCGTCTGTCACACATAGATTTGTTACGTTTTCCCAGATTTTGGAGGTTTTGGATTTATTCACCAACTATTTCTTACGTTATATTTTTACGTGCTAGTGCTTTTAGGGCCCTCTGGACTGTCTAATCTGATGAGGATTTTGAAGGAAAGACCGAGGTGTACTTTTCAACGAATTTGGTCACATATTCGGACTGCACAAAATAAACCTGTTGTTTGTTCTTGTTATCTTAGGTTCAGTACCTTTAGTTGGTCTTGCAGACACTCCAGCGGCTACTTTGTCTGACGGTGTCTGACTCTAGTACAAAAGGAAGTTATTACAGGTTATTACGTTCTCCCAGGTTTTTGAAGTTTTGGATGTATTCGCCGACTATTTGGATGTGGCATTTTTACTGCTAATGCTTTCAGAGCTCCTTGGATGTCCAATCTTGTAAGAATTTGTTTTGTTAGTGTAATCTCTTCTATGATTTTCTTATAGGTGTTTATTTTAATGTAAGATTAATTTGTATTTTTAATTGTTTTTTGTTTTAAAAAAATGAAATCGATGTAGGTTTTTAGCAAAAGTAAATTTATTTCTTATTTTAAAATATGTTCGGACATATCGGGAATTTACACCCATCATCAGCATGTAAATTTGTTAAAGACATAAGTATAACAAAGGATATTAATATAAGGCTTAACGTTTTAAACAAATTATTAATTTTTCATTATAGTTTTTTTAAAAGAGGTATGGCCATTTTGCATCTGTAATTTAAGTTTATTTACATAAAATTTTGTATTTTTTAAAATTCTTATTTTACATATAGTCGGCCAAATGGCTAGACAATTTTCCAGGTCCATTTTCCTTTTGCTTTATGGGAGCCATTTTGAGATAGATGATCCTATGTTTGATCTTGTTATCTTAGGTTCTGGGCCCGTAAGTGGGCATGCAGATCCTCCTTCGGACTGTTTGTCCGCCTTTTCATTATCCAGAATTCCTTTGTGACCTGACACCCATTATACTGTCGGGTTTGTTACGTTTTCCCAGGTTTTGGAGGTTTTGGATGTAGTCACAGACTATTTTGGGTGTTATTTCTTTACGTACTAATGTTATTAGGGCTCCTCGGCTGTTAAATCTCACGGGGAATTTTTTTGTCAGTATAACCTTGTTTAAAATTATCAAATGCCACTGGTAGCTTTCATCTTGAAAGACTGACTTGTTTCATGGCAAATATTTCTGTTTGCAGTGACGATTCCTAACCCGGTTACTTCACTGGCAATTCGGAGCCGTCTGTGTACTATATAATTGTAGATTTTCTCCTAATTTCTTGTTCACATTTATAGTCTGTTTAAACATTATAAAATTGGTTAGGGATGGTTAGGGTCTGGTGTGACGTAGGTTTTAGAAAAACATTTTCTTTATTGAGATCAACTTCAGGGCTCAAAGTGTTTGTTTTCCGTGTAGATATGTCGTGCTGAGAGTCTGAAGATGATCTCAATAAAGGTTGAAACGTTGACACGATAAAGAAAATGTTTTTCTAAAACCTACGTCACACCAGAACGCATCTCCAAATAATTATAAAAACTCTAGTGTCTAATTTGATTAGGCAATAGTGAAAACATTTCTAAACACCCTCGATCAAGGTGGATTATTTCCCCGGTAATTAATTTTTATCTTGTTACAGGGAGAATAAATCGTATTGCATTTCGGAGGTAAAATTAATTTAATAGAACGTTTATCTGATTCATATAAATAATCAATTTCAAAATGAATAGTGTTTAGCAATACTTATGATTTCCACTTATAATTGTTAAACTGATAAAATCCGTATGAAATGCCAAAGGATTTTTGACACCGGGCACCACATACTGTGTATAATACTCACTTTTAAATATAGTTGAAAACAAAACACAAATATCTCAAAAATTGAATTGTATGAATGATATGTTGAAATTTGTTTGCAGACAAACGCTCGCCAAATATGCCAAACCTCTTCGGGAGCGGTTTCCTGACAATCTCGTACGAAAAGTTCCCTAGTGAGTAAAAGTTAAATAAATTGACAAAAAAGATGGAATTTTGCGTTTTCAATATTGTGAATACACACAGGCCGGATATATTTTCCTTCCTGGGTTCTGCAATTTTGAGTCGAAAATGTTACAAAAGGATCCAAGGGATTTTGGCCGTTCATTGTTGCAGGTAGAAATGATTCGGCGGGAGGTAAAAGCAGATGTTGCCATCCAAAATGAGGGAATATGCCAACGGTTTGATAGGAGTGAGGAAGAGGGGTTGTGGTGGGTTGTGCGCGACAGGGGTCCTTTTCAAAAGTAAACGTGCGATGTCTAATTAAGAATATTATTTTCGGGCTGAGTGAAGGGTGCCCATCGTCCTGCGGTTGATTTGGCCCTAACAAGGGGGTAAACGGAAAAGCGGCTTAGGAGCAATCCGATCAAACCAATTAGTAGCCCGCCACTCTGAATTGAATTACACTATTCCCAACAGTAAGTTTAAAAATAGGATAGTAAGGGCTTTTTGCCCCGCTCGTCCCCCTGTTGGAGATTCCTTTCTCAAATTACTCCTACATAAACTTAAAATGCTCAAAAATGAATAAGGATATGTGTAATTTATTCTTATTCGATTAATTTTAATTAAATTAACAGGTCTAATTTTGTTAGTTGGATTAAAAAAATAGAACATACAAATCAAAACCAAATGTTGATCCTCATTTTTAATGACGGATTTACTTAAGAATAGTAAACAAGAAGATTACTCATTTTATTTGGTGATCGTGAGTTGCGGTCTGGTGTGACGTAGATTTTAGAAAAACATTTTCTTCATCGTGCCAACGTTTCGATCTTTAATGAGATCATCTTCAGGGCTCAAAGTGTTTGTTTTCCATGTAGATGTGTCATTCTTGTGTGTCGTGTGGGCACTCCCAACATGACACACAAGAATGACACATCTACACGGAAAAGAGGGCGTCGGTGGCCGCAACGGTTTAGGCGTCGACACGGCCCCTTATGACTGTAAGGTGAAGGTCCTGGGTTCGAAACCGACATACTTACGAATGGGCTTTTTTTCAAAAACGCCAGCACCCCGAGGATTGATATAACATCTGCTGTTGCGAACCCTCGTAAAAAATAAATAAATACTCGGAAAACAAACACTTTGAGCCCTGAAGATGCTCTCAATAAAGATCGAAACGTTGGTACGTAAAGAAAATTTTTTTCTGAAACCTACGTCACTCCAGACCGCACCTCACGTTCTCCAAATAATCATTAACTAACGGTCACTAAACACCACACATTACTCATTTTGTAAACAAACACCTTTTCTCGTCTTTTCTTCATTTTAGTACAGTTATACTCTCTTTAACCACAGAATGATAGCCTCTTGAACCAGAAGTTTACAATATTATTGAGAGAATGAGTCATCAAGGTCACCGGCAAGCGGACATCGCAGAGGGTAATGGATCTCAGGACAGAAAAAGTGTCATTGCTGTCGTTTCCATAGTGCTCGCCAGATCGTAAATGTTGAACAAGATGTTTGGGCAACGCCTTTATCAACGCAAACGATTCGTAATCGTTTGTGGGAAGTTGGCCTCACATCGTATGCCCCTTTGAGACGACCTGCAGCAAAAGCCCGCCACCAGCAACTCAGGGGAATATCGTGCATCAGAGAAAATCGGAATGTTGTTATGTCTACTAATGAGCCGCATTGCTGTCTGTATAGTGACAGCAAGCTTCGAAGAGTCTACCAAGATCAGGAGATGCGTACAATGCCCCAGTTCGTGTTCCCTTCAGCGCAGTTTGGAGGAGGCGGTGAATGGTCTGGAGATTTATATTGGAAGACGGAGGACGAACTGGACTCCTTGTTGTTGATGGCAACCTCACCGCAGTCCGTTATGTCCTAAAAATTATCTCGGAATATATCCCTGAAACGAGGTATCTCATTGGCAGGGATTTTCGATTTCTGGATTACAATGCCAGACCTGATAGAGGCAGATTTGTTCATCAATGTTTAGCTAGTTTTAATTTGGTCGTTACCGATCATTTTTGGCTGTCTTCTTCTTCAGCCCCAACACGATGGGTATAAGTCTAATGTAAAGAGATACACCAGTAAAACCTAATTCATAGATGATGATGAAATTTGGTCGTAACAATTAATTTTGGTATTGGTATAGTGGTAATTGCTTTTTGCGCTTTAAGCTCAGTCGCAATGTAAACTGGTTGCACACTGATTCTTGCAAAGTCAATGACATCTCTTTTCTTTGCGAGTTGATCTCCTACACGCGCGATATCGCACGACATCCTCGCAATATAAATTGGTCGCTTTCTCATCCATGCAAAATTAATGACGTCTCTTTGGTTTGCGATTTCAGTTTCTGCTCGCGTGATATCGCACGGCATCTCTCGCAATGTAAACAGGTCGCAAACTGCTCGTTGCAAAATCAATTTCAGCCCTTTTCCGTCCGTTTTCAGCTTCTAGTCGGTCGATGTCTCACGATATCGCTCGCAGTGTATAAAGGCAAACCATGAGAATTCAATAACATTTATTTCTTTGCGATTTGATCTCTACTCGCGCGATATCGCACGTCATCCTCGCAATGTAAACAGGTCGCTCTCTCATCCATTCAAAAATCAACATCTCTTTGCTTTGCGATTTCAGTTTCTACTCGCACGATATCGCAATGCAAAACAAATCACAAACTGATCGTTGTTAAATATGTCACCCCTTCTCTGAGCGATTTCAACTTGTACTATTGTAGAAACATTAGAGAGAAGATTCGAAAGGAAGAGCCTTAAAGTTCTTCTAGTCGGCCAGGTAACGCCGGGAACAAACAAATCCTCAAAAATATTAAAACATAATTAAAAATTAAATTGTCGTTTGTATGGTATGCCTTTATTAATCAACTCAAAAAATAAACAATGTGATTTTTTTTTAAATGAATTTCAACGGTATATTTTTATAAGAGCGTTTGTTCGAGCGGAGAGGCCGGGGATAAAAAAACGTTATAATTGAACGAGTCCAACGATGGGTAGAACGGAATTTGATTTACTTGGGCGTCCTCCCGGTTTAGAAAACATTAAAAAAGATTGGTCGGTCGTTCGGACCCCGGTGAACGTGGATTGTGTTTATTTACTGTTCGCCGTCCTGTCCCGGTGAATGGCGTACGTGTAAACAGGGATTTTGTTCCAGCTTTCACTCTCCATTAGTGTTAGATTTGATTTGACGGAAATATTTACCATATTCTCTCCCATCCGTGTCCCGGCCAGACCTTCCCTCCTCCCCCTCTTGACGTTCCATCAAAATCATACCTAACGATGAAAATCACCCCGTTTGTCCGGACTACTAATTGATTTCAGACATACATAGAACACACTTATAAAACGTTGTATTAACTGTCATAATAACATGTTTTTATTAAATTAGTTGTTATTAATAAGTATTCTTATTGTTTTTAATGATGAACAATCAAACTTGTCTACAGCCCCTCGAGTTCTGTGAAGATGTTCGCATAGCCATAGATCAAACTATGTGTTTATTTTAGCTTCATTTTCCGTCATATTAACCATTTTTAACTTCAAATTAAATTTTTAAATTTCAAATTAACCCCTTTTGTCGTCCAATTAATCTTTTAAATTGCAAATTAACCATTTTTAACTTCAAATATAATTTTTAAATTTCAAATTAACCCCTTTTGTCGTCAAATTAATCTTTTAAATTCCAAATTAACCATTTTTAACTTCAAATTAAAACTTTTAAATTTCAAATTAACCCTTTTTAACGTCCAATTAACATTTTTAAATTTCAAATTAACCCTTTATAACTTCCAATTAACGCTTTTTAATTTCAAATTAACCCTTTGTAACGTTCAATTACAACTTTTTAATTTCAAATTTGTCGTCAAATTAAACTTTTAAATTTCAAATTAACCCTTTTAACGTCCAATTAACACTTTTTAATTTCAAATTAACCCATTTTAACGCCCAATTAACATTTTTAAATTTCAAATTAACCCTTTTTAACTTTCAATTAATACTTTTTAATTTCAAATTAACACTTTTAGCGTGCAATTACATTTTTTAATTTGAAATTATACGTTTTTAACGTCTAATTAACTCTTTTTAATTTCAAATTAACCCTTATTAACTTCCAAATAACACTTTTTTTAATTTCAAATTAATCACTTTTAGCGTTCAATTATAATTTTTTAATTTCAAACCTTTTTAACGACCAAACCTCGTTATGGTGTGGATGAAAAACAAACAAATTCAATTGTTACTGCCAAGCTTTCGACAAGTCCAAGATTATAGCAAATACTGGGAAATATCCTCTTTCCAGCAGAGACCTGCTGCACAGAGGAATGGCGTGACGGTACGATTGTTGTACATTCCAGAATATGGATATACCTTTTAAAGAAGAATTTGTAAAGGATTTTAGCTACAAAGGAACACAAGAACCGACGATAGGAATACTCCAAAACGTGAGGAAACAGTAAAAATTTTCAGAAATTCACTAGCGTTTGGTTATTTATTTAAAATATGTACGTATAAATAAAAGTCGAATAAGGACCAAGTATTTGCGGGATACTGGTTAGTTGTTAATAAAATCAGACACAAATAAACAGTTATGTAGTAAGGGGTGGCTGTCGGCCAGAGGTGGAGGATATAATTGAAATTGTAACTAAGTGAGCTATGGATGTAGAATTAGGATTGTTTAGCTATGATGGAGATTAATATGCCATCCCATTAAAATATCCTTCGGTCCCTTGCGACAAAAAATAACATTTTCGATTACATTCTACATAAATTACATTTATTTGTTATGTTTATTAAGAAATTAAGTTTTAATTCGATATCGGTCTGAAGTCCTGGATGAAACAAGCCCGGTCATCGAAACCAGACATAATACAATACAGATTATATACCTACACTACTTTTTCGTATTTGCTAACCACTTTGTAGTTTTTTAAATTATTTTATTTATTTTTTTATTTGTTTGATTTTGTATCTTCACACATTAACTTTGAACATTT